AACCGTCGTCGCACTATGGACACTCCCGTGATGTCGGCCAGGTCGGGCCTTCGGCCCACTCCTCGGATGGGCCCTATGGGCCTGGCGTTCTCCGGGAAGGGCCTACGAGAGAAGATGGAACCTCGGATGTCCCGAGGGAACTTCAACGACATCGGGATGTACTCGTCCTCCTCGTCGTAGACCAGTCTTCTCCGAGCACTACCTCCGTAGTCCTCCAACACCGGCCTACCCCTTCTTCCCCCTTGCGGGGGGGATCTGAGAGGACATCGGGTCCCTTTATTGTGGTTCCACGGAATGATAAACGTGCATCGAGCGAAACAATGAATTTCTAGGAAAATCAAACCTCTTGTCTCTGGTCTTTTGGGGAGACTGTCTACGAGACGCGGTCTAATTTCATTTTCAAGCAACGCAAGTTACGACCAATATTGGATTTCCTCAAGCTCGTAATATTAACGACAAGCTCGGAATTTAGTACATAAAATTCGTTTAGCAAAGTCATGACGTCAAGTCATCGTAATTTGGGTTGCGAAATCGATGAGCCTTATGAGATCAATTTGGAGAGACCATCGACGAGACGCGGTCCCATTTCATTTTCAAGCAACGCAAGTTACGACCAACACTGGATTTCTTTAAGCTCGAAATCTTAACGTTAAGCTCTAAATTTTGTACGTAAACTTCTTTTAGAAAAGTCATGGCATTAAGTCATCGTAATTTGAGTTGCGAAATCGATGAGCTTTATGAGATCAATTTGGAGAGACCATCGACGAGACACGGTCCAATTTCATTTTCAAGCAACGCAAGTTACGACCAATATTGGATTTCCTCAAGCTCGTAATATTAACGACAAGCTCGGAATTTAGTACATAAAATTCGTTTAGCAAAGTCATGACGTCAAGTCATCGTAATTTGGGTTGCGAAATCGATGAGCCTTATGAGATCAATTTGAAGGGAACCGAGACATTTCTTTGGCAAGGGGTTGGATCGCCGCGAGTATTTAATTTCTCCTAGAAAGTACATTTTTTCGCTCGGAGTGAAGAAGTTTAATAGCTTTTCCCATGGAGGGGTAATTTATGGGCTAATTAAATCGCGACATGGTTGGGTTAGGGTTATACGCACATTTCATACTGCGAGTACGGCACGTAGGGGTCAGGCTCTGGATCGTCACTTCCGCAGTTGCACATGACGTCCGGATGGACTTGAGAATTTTGTAATTTTAGGATTTCCGAATTTCCGAATTTTGCAGTTTCGGCCGAAAGGGTTTCTTTTTTTGGTGGGAAGGGATGTCAGGTCACGTTGACATTTTTTTTTTCAATTTGGCTGTCATGACGGGAAGAGCGAGGGCTCTTGGAGATCTTCGCAGCCTCCTCTGATTCTGCTCGTTGGATTCGATATATCGATCGAATTTCAGTCGGTTGCCGATTTTGCCCAATTTCGATCAACGTCTTTCTTCTAATGTTTGGGCACGCGACGCGCACGCGCGATGCGCACGTTGCATACTTGTAATTCACGCGCTTTACGCGAAATGCACGCGCTATGTGCTTACTTGAAATTCACACGTTTTATGCGAAATGCTTGCGCTATATACTTGCAGTTCGCACAGTTTACACCAAATACACGTGCTATGTACTTGCAATTCATGCGCTTTACACAAAATGCACGCGCTGTGTACTTGCAATTCAAGCACTTTACGCGAAATACACGCGCTATATACTTGCAATTCATGCGCTTTACACGGAATGCACGCGATATATACTTACCTTTCACACACTTTGCGCGAAATACATGCGCTATATACTCGCAATTCATGCGCTTTACGCGAAATGCGCGCGCTATATATTTGCAATTCACGCGGTTTACGTGAAATGCATGCGCTATATACTTACCTTTCACGCGCTTTACGCGAAATGCATGCGCTATATATTTGCAATTCAAGCACTTTCCGCGAGATACATGCGCTATATGCTTGCAATTCATGTGCTTTACGCGAAATGCACGCGCTATATACTCATCTTTCACGCGCTTTACCCAATATGCGTGCGGTATATACTTGCAATACACACACTTTACGCGAAATGCACGCGCTATATACTTACCTTTTTCGCGCTTTACGCGAAATACATGCGCTATATGTTTGCAATTCATGTGCTTTACGCGAAATGCACGCGCTATATACTCATCTTTCACACACTTTACGCGAAATGCACGCGCTATATACTTGCAATTCACGCGATTTACGTGAAATGCATGCGCTATATACTTACCTTTTATGCGCTTTACGCGAAATGCATGCGCTATGTACTTGCAATTCACACACTTTGCGCGAAATACTCGCGCTATATACTTGCAATTCATGTGCTTTACGCGAAATACCCGCGCTATATACTTGCAATTCATGTGCTTTACGCGAAATGTACGCGCTATATACTTGCTTTTCACGCGCTTTACGCGAAATGCATGCGCTATATACTTGCAATACACCCACTTTACGCGAAATACCCGCGCTATATACTTGCAATTCACCCACTTTACGCGAAATACCCGCGCTATATACTTGCAATTCATGCGCTTTACGTGAAATGCATGCGCCATATAGTTTCAATTCATGCGCTGCACGCGACATGCACGCGCATTGTACGCTTTGCACGCGTCCGTCCGGGCGGGCGCGTGCGCTCGGCCACACACGCCGCGATATTCAAATGAGGCCCCTCGGTGCATCCGACTATCGCACGGCTATAAACGCCATCCGATGCACCGAGATGCGCCGATGCACCGGGGTACAAGCGCGATATGCGTGACCGCTTGTTTTATGCGCGACTCCGCGACGCACACCCCAGGATGCCCGACCTGGTGAACAATCGATTCTTGAATAGTAATTAACCCCCCCCCTCGGGCTTAATGACACACCTCTTCGTGCACGCCGGTTTCTTTGCCCTCTTTCTCCGGACTTCGGCTCGATGAAAAATGTTGCACCGGCAAAAAAGACCGGAGCAGATTTTTTTCCCCCTTACGCCACAATGTCGGGAAACTACGATTTTCCATTTTTATCCATTTATATTATAGATAAGCCGATACGAAAGGGTCCTGTTTATGAAATTTCTCTCCGAAAGGGGGTGACGAATCGTTTTAAACTTCCCCACGTGAATGTGGAGGCCCTAAAGAAGGTCTGAGCACTCCTGAGATTTTAATTATTTTTTTGTTTAGTTTATAAACATTGTTTTTAATTGAAATTTTACGGACATCGGGAGCTTCCCTGGGGCCTCCATACTCACCTGGTGGAATTTCAGATGATACGTTATCAAGCTGTTAGGAGGGAAGCGTCATTGATGTTCCGAGATGTCACTTTCGTACCGCCTTAAGCATGGTTAATTTCTCCTGATAAGAGTGATAACGCCGATTTGTCGGAGAAATGGGCTTGATTTGGGCGGCGCAACGGAGATCGGGAGAGAATCCGTGATTCGAGTCGAGGTCGAAATTAATTTGACTGGCGTCATTTTTCATTTGGGGCCTTAGGCCCTGTCCGGGGGCCTTAAGCCAAAATGGCGCCCGGAGGCACGCCGCCTCTTCGTCCCCTCGGCCAGTCTTCTGATTGATAACCTCACATTTATCCCCGCTTTGTTCGGCCGAGATGCGACGTTTCTATCCGTCGTGTGATAAAAGCAAGAGGTGTCAGCCCTGAACCCGGACGAATCGATTCGCCCCTTTGATCCTCCTCGGCGTGTAGCTCGTCTCTGTAAGGCCCAATTTTCCGGCCCCGAAAACATTCCGTCGATCGAGAAGTCTCAGGAGAAATGCACTGGTACTATTTCCACAGGGATAGACTGTCTTAATATATGTATATTTTTCTAACCGTGCGAAACCGCCGCCGTGAAAAATTGGGCCCACTTTGCCCGGAGGCCCCAATTCCGAAGAGTGGGGCCCGATCGCCGAGTGAGTTGGCGGTGTTATAATCGGGTTAGACTAATCGGCGCCGTGTTAGGGGGTGCCCGGAAGATGAAAGGGAACGCGGGCGCTAAAGGGGCCCTATTAAGAGGCCCAGGGCCGTATAATCGCCAGCCCTCGCCTACTTAGGGCCCAAAAGAGACCGCGCTCCCGCCAGAAACCAATCGCTCCGAGGGGGAGCCTCCAAGAGGGCCCAGGGACGATTTCGCGTCAATCAAGATGTATCTGGGCCCTAATGCCCAGACGGGGAAACGACAGAAATAATCGAGGATGAACGCGACGAAACGGTCGGCTCCACCTCTGGGCCCTATAAGGCCCCGGAGATAAAATCGCCTCTGACTTGGTTTTCCTAATTTCTACCTTGAAAAAAAGATTGCTCATTCAACCGGAGGGATACTTCATAAGTCCCAAGTTTTTTTTTTTTTTTTTTTTAAATAAAATTAAACGGTATCGAATTGGAATAAGTATGCAAATTACTCAATTCAGGGGGTCGGGGGGAGTTTGTCCCTTTTTCCCTGGGTCATTGTCGGAGTTTAAAAATCGTGGGGCGCATTTGTGGTCCCCAGGAGGGGAGGATGCATTCCGGGGCCCGAGGTCCTCCGGGCGCGTGCTCTGCTGGGCCTGACGGGCCCCACCCGCGGGAAGATGGATGCGAGTCGCGAGCGAGATCGGCATGCGCGGAATTCGCCGCAGCGGATCCCGCGGCACCCACGGCCCGGTCGGTCCCGGGGGAATAATTTATCGAGTAGTCGCGGGCCTTAATTCGTTAATAAGCGGGCCCCCTCGGGGCCTTATGGCGGGGGAGGCGGCGCACCTCGGGGAGGATCGACGATGCGCGATGAGGCACGGCCTGCGTCCCCGTGAATTATCGCCAGCGGACCCTGGCTTTCGATCCTAGAAATCCTCCCTGGGCCCTAGGGCCCAGAACGGGACGACCCCCTTCTCGAGGAGGAGCGATCGCCGAGGAACTCCGAATTCCTCCTCCCCCGTCTCCGCCCGAAATGCACTTCGTTCTTCGAGTTGCGCTTTTTTTCCTGAACGTTCTCTCTCTTCGGTTGCAGGTTCTTCAAATCGATGGACGACTTCTCCTCGACGAGCGGCGACGGTGAGTCTCTTTTTATTTATTCCACGTACGTTATTAGCCCTTTTAGTGCCGGGCAACGATGCATCCTCGTATTACAAATGCCGCAGATTTCGGCACTTGTTAATGAATTCGGCACTAAAGGGGTTAATTATCGCGACTCCAAAGAGGTGGCGATCGGAAAATAGCGAGACCGCCCTGTTACTTGTTAAGAAAATCGTTGCATTTCCCGAGGGAAAACGTATTAAAAGAGACGATTCACTTCGTGAAACATTCGGATTGACGCGAGTAATCGATTTCGCCCGGTAAGCAGGGTTGACAAAAATCAAGATTTCTTGTACAGAAATAAAAAATCCCAGACTTTTTATTCCATCTTGACTGAAATTACCTTTTTTCCTTGTGCGATTTTAATTATTTAAATGAACTTTTAATTATTTATGTGATTTTATTTTAATTAATTTAATCGGCTCCACTCTGCTGGAAAGTGCATTTTTCGCTCGGTGCATCCTTGGCTCTTCTTGTCCCTTGCAGCTTGCGTGTCGCTTCGGCACTTTGGCAGCTACTCAGCGTGCTGCACACGCATTTGCACGCACGCAGAAGGCGTGCGCAGCTTCCGTGCGCGAGCCGGTATTCCGCTCCGTTTTTCCGCCTCTGTTCGTCCTTCGCCCGACGTCCATGTCGGCTCCCAGTCTTTCCGGTTCCCTCGTTCCTCCGGCCATCTCTGGTTCGTTCTCGAGGTTCGAGGGAGCGAAGGATCGCCCACGCACGGCCGCGTTTGCCGGCCGTTGTTAATTATCTGCCGCCGTTTATCAACCGGCCGGGAAGAAAGTTCCCTCGAGCGAGAGCGTTCCCCTCTTCCCCTTTCCTTGATCTCCTCGACCACGTGTGTCGTTCTCCGATTCCGTCCTTCGCCTTCCACGTCCTCTTCGACTTCATCTTCAGGGTCCTCCTTTAAATTCGAACGAACCAGGCCCTTGCGAATTTGTAGGGTTTACGTGGGGGGATGGAGAGATCCGGCACTCGAAGTGGAATTTTGGGCCCTACGGCCCGATTTTGTTGTATCGCTATGGTGCAGTTGACGCGGGTCCCGATTCCGTTCTTCGCCTTCCTCGTCCTCTTCGACTTCATCTTTAGGGTCCTCCTTTAATTTCGAACGAACCAGGCCCTTGCGAATTGGTAGGGTTTACGTGGGGGGATGGAGAGATCCAGCACTCGACGTGGAATTTTGGGCCCTACGGCCCGATTTTGTTGTATCGCTATGGCGAAGTTGACGCGGGGCCCGATTCCGTCCTTCGCCTTCTTCGCCCTCTTCGACTTCATCTTCAGGGTCCTCCTTTAAATTCGAACGAACCAGGCCCTTGCGAATTTGTAGGGTTTACGTAGGGGGATGGAGAGATCCAGCATTCGACGTGGAATTTTGGGCCCCACGGCCCGATTTTGTTGTATCGCTATAGCGCAGTTAACGGTGCAGTTGACACCGTCCCCGGAATTCGTCGCGGACAGGCCCCGGTTCCCACGTGGGAAACGTCGCGGCGCGCGCGACGCTCGTGGGCGAGGACGGGCTCGGGCCGTCGCGGCGCCGCGCAAGGCCGGGGCCCTAGGGCCCACGGAATTCCGAGGCGGGCGGGGCTGCTTCGGGTGCCACTTAGCATTTATCAATTCCACGGGGCCCGGGCCCGGTTGTCCGGAGCGACGTCCGGCATATCGGGCCGGTATCGGGGGCCCTGGCTCGGATGCCGGACACGAGCCGGGCTCCAATGACGGGGCCCGAGGACCCACCGGGAGAGGGCCCCGCGTCCAGCCCCGCGATGAAGAAATCACCCGGCCTGGACCGCTCGAGATCGATCTCCGGGATAGGGAAGACGAAGTGCCCCGGGAGGAGCGCGGACGGTATCGTTCATCGGGCCCCCGGGAGGGGCCCGATTCGGGCCCGTAATCGCGGCCCCGCGGAAACCAGCTGACGAAACGTCGCGAAGAAGTCACCGTTCCCGGGGGAATGGGCCTTTTTACGTGGGCGAGAACCGGGTATAACTAGGTCACCATGTATCCGGCCCGTTTCGAGGGCCCAGAATTTAGCGTCGGCCGCCGATCTGCATCAAGGAGGCCCCCACCACCGGGAGGGCCCGGCGATCCACCGGGGGCTATTTGAGGCCCTCCTTGCGTACATCATATCGCCACGTTATGCAAGTCCCTTCGGGGTTAGGGCCCGGACTACTCCAGTAGTCCTAAAACCGAGCTCCCGCACTTGCCGGGAGTGGCGAGGCCCTAAGGCCCTCGAGAGGCCAAGGCCTATCTGGGCCTGAATCACGCTCGAATTGCCCTGAACGAAAAGAATCACTTTTCATGAAAGAAAATTCCGATCGATTTATGAGACCAGTACGTCATTCCATCCAAAGTGTGGGATCACATTCATTAATTGCGATGTAACTTTAATTAATGCCCCATCAATTTCATTTATATTCTCAATACTTGAGACCAATTGTTCGTGGGCCAGATCGGACAAACCGCAGCTGAACCGCACGCCGTCCTTGGGGAGTCCGCCCCGGGTCCAGAGTCGATCCGTTTCTTGACATACAGCTCCAAGGCCGATCCCTGACGAGGTCATCGGATCACCGGATCAAGAGATCACGAGATCTGGGTCTCGAAACCGCAGGATCGCTGTCCGGCGCCGTCGATCCTGCGACGCACTCGATCCTGGCGTTCTCCAGGACGAGATCTCTTGTTCTTTTCTTTTTTTTTTTTATCGACCTAACAAAACTGCAGCGACGAATCGATGGCAACGAAATAGCCGCGATATATCGCTGGCATTGAAATGGCAGCGACGAATCTACGGCGACATATCGGCAGCGATGAATCGACGGCGCCAAATCGACGATGAAACGTCTTGGACCGATCGATCTCGGGCCCACGGGGAGGACGTTTTTTTAAGACGATTCACTGCAAGTCGAGATGCATTCCTGGGCCTTACGGGGTATCCGGCCCACCAGGAGGTGCGCTCCAGATTCGCATTAGATGGCGACGTGGTCCGAGGGTATCCTCGGGTCCCTCGTGTAACTTACACGGCGCGCAAGAGCCGCGGTGAGATGACCTCGGGTCTGATAAACCGGGAGGAATGAGCTGACGTTTACTCGGTCCGAGCTGAACGAGCAAACGAGAGCAACTCTCGGATTACCTCTGCATTTTTAGACCCGACCTTAACGGCCGGGGCGGGATCCTGAAGAGCCTTGGATGTCCTTCGGGGGAGGACCTCTCCGCTGGGCGCGGTGGTGACAAAGAATCCTATTTCGTTCATGGAAACTTATAGGGGGCTTAAGGTGGTTCGAAAGGCGCCGAGAAATTCATCCGTCAGGTTTAGCAAGAAGTTTTAGACATATCTCGAACAGGCCACTTTTGTGTCACCTTAATGTAATCGTGGTTTTAAGGTGACGTGAAAGTGGCGTCAAATAGGTTTTGTTTATAAAACTTTTCTCCCAACTCGGTATACCGAATAGTTTGAAACTTTACAACGTGAATAGGAAGACTGTAAGGAAGGTCCCGAAAGTCATGAAATTTCAATTCTTTTCAAATTTGTTTATAGGTATTTTAAAAATAGTTTGTAAAAAATGATATTTCCCGAGTTTCAGGACCTACCTTAGGGTCGCCATATTCACGTTTTAAAGTATGAAACGATTTGAGACACCCACTTTGTGGAAAAGTTTTATGAACGATTGACCTTCCGGTTGCCACTTTCACATCCCCTTAACAGGGGTCGAAGAATTCGATGAAAATCCCCCCCTGTTCCTGGATTCCGTGAGCGTGTCGCGAGACGTCCCGCGGGCTGCTCGTTTTAAGGCCCAAAGGGCCCTCTCGGGTTACGCCCTAGGGTCCCGGGGCCCTATCTGCGCCATCGGCGAGTTCCCGTTTTACGTTTTACGTTTTACGTTTTACATTTTACATCTCGCATCCTGCGAGTCCTACGTTCTATACGTGTATCTCGTCCTGGACGCGGGCCCGGGAGGCGCCGGGTCCCTCTCGGGTATCTCCTGGGGGGACTTAACCCCCGGGGTGAGGCCCCGAGCAGTCCCGGTGATATTTTCGCGGAGTTATCGCGATAACACGGCCCGGAGCCCGGCCGATCGCTCCGCGTTTCCAGGGATCGATCGAGAGTCGGATTTCTCGCCGGTTTTGCGGGCCCGATGGGCCTCAAGGCCCCGCCGATAACTCGCCGAGGTGTACGGACACGTATCGGGGGATATGCCGCTCCATTACCGGGACTTAACCCTTATTAAAGCGAACACCTCGCCGAATCGAGAGGCCCGGTCCCCGAGGTCGCGTCGCGCGGGCCCCGACTGCTCCGTAGGGCCCCTGCCAATTTGCGGCAATATTATAATACGACGATTTTGTTATATCGTAATCTCGCGATCCGAGGCCGCTTTGCTCGAGTGTTCTCGGGGCCCGGGGCTAAATTGATGACCCCTCCGAGATCTGCCACTTAGGGCCCGATTTCTGCCCCTCCCTCCGCGTTGGGCCCCGCCGGATGACCTCGCTTGCACAAACGGAGAAAGTATCTCACGACCCCCGGACCTTTCCGAATTTCCTCGGGATCGCTCAAGAGAAGAAAAGCTCCGACACCGGTCCCAACGGATTCTGGGCCCGATTTCTATTTCCAGGGCCCAGAAAGCCGCGGCCCGCCTTTGGAGCGTCCCCCCTCTTTTCCTCTCGGTACACGTTGGGCCCTGTGCACGACTTGTAACGCGGGGATGGATACAAATCACTATCGATCGGTTGCCAAATTAACCAGGTGATCGATCACGGTCCCGCGTGAAAGTGGGCCCTTTCACGGGAATTGGGGCCCCCGGGTCCCTCCCTTGGAATTTCCCTGAAGAGAAGTGCCTTCCTCTGCCTCTCCTGGAAATGTACAACTCCCGTGCTGAGAAATATATGTAATAAGTATATATAATGTAATAAGTAAATGTATGTAATAAGGCCCGAAAAATTCCTCGATGGGACCCAAGTGCATTTATCTCTTCTCGTGTGTGTGTTTCAGATGATTTGGTAGGTGTCCACTGTACCCATGGAGTGAACCGCACCGGGTACCTCATCTGCAGGTACGCTGAGAATTATTAACAGACTTTAAGTTGGGCCTTCCCTCTAATTAGTCGACTCGTACTCAAGCGAGGGTCCGAAAGGCCCTCTCTGTGAATTCGGGCCCCTTCCCCTTGGCCCCGCAACTGCCCAGGCGTGCGGCATACTGACCCTTCCCTTCTTTTTCTCGTTGCAGGTACCTCGTGCAGCAATTGGGCTGGGAATGTCAAGACTCGATAAAAGGTATAATCTTCCTGGATATCGTTAACTCGGCGAGATATATCGCGGGTATCCGTAAGGGTAGACGTTGCTCCTCTTCGCGGCGTCCTCATGGGCCGCCATCTTGGAAATTCGCGCGTCCACTTCCAGCATTGATACGTAAACCATCGATTAGAAACAAATTGCGAATCCCGTGAAATGATTCGATCGTGGCTTAGATATCGTTATCAAATTCTAAGGTTAAGGGAGAATTTAGGAAACGCGACGTATGCGTATCGGTGACCTAGAGTTTGGATTTTTTAAATGAAGAGTGGAGTCGCGTTCCAGTTCGGGTTCGGTGGAGGATTTCCAATATGGCGGCGCCAAGGACTCGCAGTCCCAGGGATCGGCAGGAAAGGTGGCCGTTTAGCGTCGCAGGGGTCCGTAAATCGGGTCTCGGGTCCCGGCGACGCGACGCGAGGTACGGCGTCGGCGGGACGATGGGTTACGTCTTCCTTCCCCGGCGTCGCCGCCGTAACGCGACCCGACGCCCACCGGAATTACGACGCGACGCCACCTTGGACCGAGATAGGGACCTTGGCCGAGGCCACGAAGTAGCGCAAGAAAGCTCCCACTCTAAGTTTTCGGGGAAAATTCTAACCCCAGGTGTCCTTCGAGTCGGTAGCGACCCTGGCGACTCTAGCGACTTAGTGGCCCTAGTGATCTTAGTGATCCTAGTGACCCTAGCAATCCTAGCGATCCTAGCGACTCTCGCAGAGGAGGTGGAGGATCTTGGCAAGACGAGTAGCGTGGACATTCCGGCTTGTGTTTCAGCGTTCGAGGAGGCGCGCGGCCACACGTTTGACCGGGAGATCTTCGTGAACGACCTGAAGAAGGTGCCGAAGGGGGAGAAGATCGACACGAGCAAGGTGACGAGGTCGCAGCCAGTCCCGATGCGCAAGATGTTGCTGAAGGATCATACGCTGAAGCGATTCGGCCGGCACCACCTGATGGGCCCACCGGGCCCCCCAGGATTCGTTCCGCCACCAGGACGTCGAGGTTTCGCGGCAAACGGGGCCCCGTATCCACAGCCCTTCGGTTTCAGGCCCCCAGGAGGGTTCGGGCCCATGGGTCCGCCGCCAGGTCCCATGCCGCCTCCGCCGCCGGGCCCCATGTTCGGGCCCCCTCGGGCTCTGAGGCCCTCGCGGCCGCCGCCCCCCAGGTTCGGCCTGCCGCCTCACCCGATGCGGCCGCCGCTGCCGCCACCCGGGCCCGGAGGCATGCCGCCTCGGCCGGGTTTCCACCCGATGCGCATGCCCGTGCCTCCCAGGATGCCCCCGGGACCCCCCCGACTACCGCCGTGCCCGCCGCCCCGGATCCCCGGCCCCCAGATGCCGCCACCCCCGCCGCCGGTGGTCGCGAAACGCCTGCAGACTCCTAAGAAGAAGGTCCGCCGCGACGTGCCGACTGCCCCAGGACCCCGGAGCTCTGCCCTCCACCAGGTCAGCCGCCTGCGGCCCAGGAACCTTGGCGGACCCAAGCCTCCGGCAAAGGAGCAGGACTTCACCGTGGACACCTTCGAGGAGAACCTCGCGAGCACCAGGCCCACCCCTGGGCCCGTGCGCCGGCCCAAGACCCGCTTCGGACTGCCCAAGTGACGAATGCCACCCCTAGGGAGGCGAACTGTCTAACCCTCGACCCCGCGACCGACTCGACTCTCTCTCTGTATGATACGCCCGCGCCGCAGCCCGGGGCCCGCTTGTACCCCCCGGGCCCCGCTCTGCGGCCCTCCAAGACGTCGTCGCGGATTCATCCTGTCCTTTTTATTACGGAGCGTTCACTTTTAACGACGGCGCTTACGCCGGTGACCGCGCGTCTCCGATTTGACTAAATAAAGTGCACCTTGTCGGTACGAAGGGAGTAGGTCGAATTGGAGGCACCCCGGGACCGTAGGGTCCATCGGGACGACCTCGGCTAGGACGTGGCGAGTCCCGTTCCCGAAGTTAACCCAACCTTCGTTGCATAGACACCCCGGGTATCCTAGACGGTGCCGACCTGCTGGGGCTCCGCGCTCTGCAGCCGAGTCGCCTGGGCGGAGGTGGAGGCGCGACGCGCGACCAATTGGTGACCTCGCAAGAGGGTCCGTCCGATTAAGGCGATTCAATATTCGGCCCATATCTCGTCCTCGTCGCGAAGGTTGGAGGTCGTAGGTCGGCCGCGTAGGTGGTACACGTCCCTCGACGCGGCCCGGCCGTACATCACGCGGAGCCGCCGGGCCGCGCGTGGAATAATTCCGGCGCGGAATCGCCCGCGAGGGCGCAGGCGTCGCGACGCGGGCCCGCCTTTTGGGCCTATCGCCTTGAAACATTGAGATCGGTATCCCGGAGGGGGCCCGCTATCTCTCGACAACCGGAGGACGGCCGTTATATCCCCGAAGATATTATCCCCCTCGGCGATTCTTTCCTTTTTTTTTTTTCTTTTCTTTCATTTCTTCTCTTTATCCAAATTTATCTTCCCGGAGGAAAATTAGGCGCGAAATGTCCGCCCGGTGATTTGTCGATGCCGAGGAGACGCCACTCGATAGCCTTATACACCTCTCACCTCGTCCTGGGGCATTGCTCCGAATTGAAAATCGGTTTCCAAATTGAGGATCTGAAAATTCGACCCACCTCGTAATCGCGCTATCGGTTCTTACCGTTTTTTTTTTTACGAGATACTCGAATTTACGGTCGCCTCGAGGCTTCCATTTCCCGGATTTTAATTACGCGCGTAATTGCTCGGGTTTCTTCCTCCCTCCGTATCTGCGGATCTGGGCCCAACGGGCCCTAGGGCCCCGGATCGGCGCGCCGCGATACGCCAGGGCGACCCCGCGTTCCCCGGGTCCCGGAAAGACAACCGGGGAAAGAAATGAGCGGATCACCCACGATCTCTCCCGGGGGAGACGGGAGGGAGCTCTCTTTTTCTTTCGCGAAATTAAGATAAGATCGGCCCGTCTCGTACTGGGCCCTCCCGTCATCGTTGCAACGCGATACACCTGGGCCTTACCTCTTGGAGTTACGTTTGCGCGAGTACAATAATATCGACTGGTTTAAGGGGACCCCTGGGCCCCACGTCTCGGCAATAAACCGGAGGTTTCGGCAATTCGCGTTATCCCCACCGATTTAGGGACCTGGTTGGGCCCTGGCCCCACTTTCATCCTTTTTTCTTCGACTCCTTGGGACTTTCCAAATTAACCCTTCGGCTACTAAGAGCGCTTATAGGCGCTCGACGTTTGGCCCAATATTGCCTGCACGGTAGGACGAATTTCGCCCGTATGTCGAAATGGATCCATGTTCGAAGGGTTAATCTACGCGGATTTTTTGACAAGTAGAATCTTATCGGTGGATCGTCTTATTGGGAAGAGGTGGGCCTTGGTTCTTTGATTAAAATGATCTGCGGACGAATTTCCGAGATCGCGGTCATGTTGATCAACATTGTCGCGTCGACGAGCTCTGCGGATTTTTCGAAACTACTGGTGGGGAGGCCTTCGCGTCCTCGGGTGTTTTCGGGTGTTTTCGGGTGTCTTCGGGCGCCTTTTGGCGAGCTCGACAAATCTCTCGCCTCCATTTGGGCCCTATTAAATTAGAACGCAATTGGGCCGAGGAGCGGACGAGTTGCGGCGCGTTTAGTTGTAAGGCGGAATGCCACTCGGTCGGGTGTCCCGAAGGACGCGGATCTTCGGGAATTTCGGGAGTGTAGGATATTATTATAGGAACTCCAGACTTTGAGGATCGACGAGAAGAGATGTGGACGAGGTAAACCCCGATGCTGCGACCCAGGGGAGAGGCCGAAGGAGCCATGAAGACGACCTCCAGGAGTCCCGGGGGATCTCTTCGAGATGCGCATTTTGGAATGCGAGGTTAGTGAACTTGGGACACTTGGAGAGGTACTAGGTGAATATGATCGACCGAAATCCATGATCACGGATTGTTTTCCCACGTGGGGGATTTACGCCCTTTTTTCAGAACTAACCCATTTTCACGGTTACATAAGTGCCGACCGAGACAATTTTCTTTATTATTATTCTGCGTGGGGGATTTACGTCCCTTTTTTCAGGACTAATCCATTTTCGTGTTTGCATATGTGCCGACCGAGGGAAATTTCTTTATTACGATGGGATTATTTTCCCACGTGGGAGATTTATGTCGATTTTTTAGGACTAACGTGTTTTTTCGTTTTCATAAATGCCGAGCGAAATTTATTTATTACGACAGGTTTTATTTCCCACGTGGGAGATTTATGTCGATTTTTCAGGGCTAACGCATTTTCATGTTTGCATAAGTGCCGACCGAAGGAAATTTCTTTATCATGACGGGATTAATTTCCCATGTGGGAGATTTACGTAGATTTTTCAGGGCTAACGCATTTGCACGTTTGCATATGTGTCGACTGAGAGAAATTTCTTTATTATGGCGGGATTAATTTCCCACGTGGGAGATTTATGTCGATTTTTCAGGACTAACGTATCTTCACGTTTGCATAAATGCCGAGCGAAATTTATTTATTACGACGGGACTATTTTCCCACGTGGGAGATTTATGTCGATTTTTCAGGGCTATCGCATTTTCATGTTTGCATATGTGTCGACCGAGAGAAATTCCTTTATTATGACGGGATTAATTTCCCACGTGGGAGATTTACGTTGATTTTTCAGGGCTAACGCATTTTCATGTTTGCATATGTGTCGACTGAGAGAAATTTCTTTATTATGACGGGATTAATTTCCCACGTGGGAGATTTACGTAGATTTTTCAGGGCTAACGCATTTTCATGTTTGCATATGTGTCGACCGAGAGAAATTCCTTTATCATGACGGGATTAATTTCCCATGTAGGAGATTTACGTAGATTTTTCAGAGCTAACGCGTTTGCACGTTTGCATAAGTGCCGAGCGAAATTTCTTTATTACGATTGGATTATTTTCCCACGTGGGAGATTTACGTCGATTTTTCATAGTTATTTTCTAAGTATTCATAGATTTTAAGCGACAAAATTATATTTTCCATATCTACGGATTATTTCTCTGCGCATGAGATGATTTCCGTCAATTTGTCCGAGCTTACCTATTACCAAGTATTCGTATTTTTTAAGCGAGCGAATTTTGATCCAATGCGGATTATTTCCCCGCGTGCAGGGAGATTCACGTCGATCTTCCTGGGGCATTCCTCCCCGACGGTCCCGCGGGATTCCGCCCAGGGTGGGGGTGCGTTCTCGCGGAACTAAACGTTTGTTTATCCGAAATAAGCATCCGGATGCCGGCGAAGGGGTCGCGAAAAGTTCTGGACGTCGAGGGTAACGGATCGCGGGTGCGGATTCCGCGAAGACAATCCCGAAGTTGGCCCGCGAACTCGGCGGGCTCTGGGTCGTCCCTGGGGGGGGGCAACTCCCCCCGGGGGCGACCACCGCCGATCTCGTCTTAGATTTATCGGCATATTTTCCCAGTCCCTCGGGAGAATCGGGGGGTGATTTTATTTACTTTTACGCGAGGTACCTCCGGGATATTTCGCGAACAGAAGGACGGGGATAAATCCAGGGAAATGGCGGAATCCCCCCGATATACCCGCGACTTACGCAGATTTTGTTCACCCTGCGGGGGGGGGGGTAGTTTTATTTCCACTATCGGTTTTTGCGGTGTCCTTAGGTATCAGCGTTTTCCCCGAGGGATGCTCTCGAAGAGAGGTTTCCTCGGGGATCTTGGCGCGAGGCTCGATGAATCTCCCCCGCAAAATCCAAATTTCATCCCCTAACCCTCCCCCCAACCCCCGACGTCGACGTATCGCCGAGACTCGCGGCCGATGGGGATCGAACTTTGCGAATAATTCCCGAAAAAGCCACGCGGGGACAAACAAGTCTATAAACTCCTCCCTGCGGCGGCCACCCACCCACCCACCCCCACAGGGGGAAAGTTTTGCATTTAGCCCGATTTCGCGAATCGCGCCCCCCCCCCCCCNCGAAAGTGCGAGAAAAATCGGGGAAAATTGCTCGGCTCCTCCCCCATTTCCCCCCCCCCCAATTTTCAACCCTTTAGGGGACGTGAATAATTGTCCGGCAGTCGTAGACCTTTCTTTTCCCAATTCGAAATTCTCGTTTACGGGAGTTTAAAACATATTTCGCCGAAATTGGGCCTACTTAGCGGGGCAGCTTGATTATCGCGGGGTGATTAATAGGCCCCCCCCCCCCCTTGTGCCAACCCCCGCCGATTTCGGAGATCTAATCGGGAGATATTTATTACGGGGCCCGTCGGGCCCGTTTTGCGCGTTTTTTCCCATCCGGGGCCCGGGTTCGCCTGCCAGACTTCATAATCGGCACTAGGCCAGTTTTATCGCTTCTGCCTACCGGGAAGACACTGCGCCCGATCGGGGCCTTAAGGCCCCGCGGACTTCGATACATCGTTACCCCCTCGCGAGTGTTAATCTTCGCTCCCGTAAACGTCAGTCGAATCTCATGCGGATGGAATGGCTGCTGTAAACCGTATGCGTTACGGGGGAGGGGGACTTTCGGGCCCTTTTTAAGGGCGGCTTTCTAGGGCCCGCGGATGAATCATTGCGGGGGGTTATGCTAATCGGTGGGGATTTTCGGGGGGGCCGTTTCTTCGTATCGTTAAATGCACGAGAGGGTGCATCTCTCGTTCTGGGACTGGCCGATTGTTCCCGGGTTCTTATCACGATGTTCTCCTTGTCGCGACGTGTCCTTTTCACGTTTTCTTTTCATCGTTCGCCATTTTGACGGCGCAGTGCGCTTTTATCCCAACCTGTCCTTATCGCGATGTTTCTTTATCACGATGTATCCTTATCGCGACGTGTCCTTTTCACGTTTTCTTTTCATCGTTCGCCATTTTCACGGCGCAATGCCCTTTTATATCCCAA